ATTATTTTCAAGTATTGTTTAAATAATGCAACCAATACCTTTAAACTACCATTACACTCAATCGTTCTGTCTGGAGACCCGAATACTATTGACAGTCAATTTAACATCGCGTGTGCAGAACGCCCTCACAGAAGCTGATAAAACACAAGGTTTGGATTTTTACAACGGCGATTCTATTCTCAAAGGGGTGAGCGTGAGGGGTAGGGGTGGAGTTCGCCTACCCTCCCTGAGCGGAGCATCAGAATCTGAGGTGGATGAAAGTGGAGAAGTTTCTTCCATCCCCACCAGAAACATTCACTGCCCTTTCTCTTCCATACTTACCGCTAATGTAAGCAAGTGCTACAGATTTCTCAGAAGTATTGTGGCAAATAAAAATAATTGAGAATCATTATTCTATGATTTTATATTCTACTAGAGAGACAGTTTAAAATTAAACAATAGGTAAGTATAACTTGAAAGAATAGGAAATAAATAGGATCAATCAAAGCTTTTAGGGATTTGTGCTTATACTAGGGGTCTATAACAGTCTCATTCTTCTATTAATGATTCTAAAGCAAACCATTATATTTTAATTGAATGTTTAATAAAATGAATTATTTCAGTGATTTGTTTTACTTAGAATTCCATTATTTCTCCCTTTTTCTGAATAATGTAGTTTTTCAGATTTAAGTAGTAAAAAAATCTAATACTCTGTTGTAAGTCATTAGAATAATTGTACACGATGATCACACCTTCTCGTGGCCACACCCCTTTGTAACGTGATATTGTTACTCTTCTAATCAAGACTTGGCGTCTTTTTCAGCACCTCCCGAATCTAGGCAGGCCTGACACTTGCTCTGACCAACGGAATATGACAGAATCATCTTGCACATTTTGGAGTCTAGGCCTTAGGCCTTTGCTTCCACTTTGACCCTTTTGGAATGCTAAGACCACTACGCTGTGAAAAAGCCCAGTCTACCACAGTGAGATGGGAAGCCATGTAGAGACTAAGGCTTCCCAGCTAACTAACAACCAGCACCCACTGCCCCATAGGGGAGAGAGGCCATCCTGTACCTTCTAGCCCCGGTTATATTAGTCAGGGTTCTCCAGAGAAACAGAACCCGTAGGATGTGTGTACACACACAGAAAGAGATTTATTTAAAGGAATTGGCTCGTTTGATTATAGAGAACGGTAAATCCAAAATCTGCAGGATGGGTTGGTGGGGCGGAGACCAGGCAAAAGCCGATGCTTCAGGTCAAGTCCGAAGGCTATCTTCTGGCAAAATTCCTTCTTGCTTAGGGAAGGTCTCTCGTTCTGTTCAGGCCTTCAACTGATTGGGTGAGGCCCACTCACATGATGGAGGGCCATCTGCTTTACTTAAACTCCAGTTTTAAATGTTAGTCTCATCCCAAAATACCCTAACAGAAATAGCAGAACAATGTTTGACCACCTACCTGGGCACTGTGGCCCAGCCAAACTGACACATAAAATTAACCATCATGCCAATCTTTCAGATGATGCAATTACATGAGTGACCCCAGGTGAGGAATGAGAATACCAGACTACCAACCCACAGAATTGTATAATAATAGTAAATTGTTTTTATTTTCTGCCACTAAATTTTGAGGTGATTTGTTACACAACAAAAGGGTAACTTCAACAGAACTAGCTTCCGAAAGTGTTCATATACGGGGTTTAGGCTGGTGGTTATGAGTAGCTGGGCATTAACCTTTGCGGATGTTGTAACCAAATGGAGAGATATTGTATGTCACATCCTGGTACGGTCTGAAACAAAATTTGGTATAGCTAAACGTAGGATGAGTAATGACACACAAAATGAATCGGTTGGTGAATCCAGTTTATTTATTGGGTGAATCTACTTATTTATTCATTTATTTGATGGATATTTATTGCACACCTCCTACATACCGAGCACTATTCTAGGAGCGGGGAAAACAAGAGACACCGTCCCTGTCTTTGTGTAACTTTCAGTCTGAAGAAGAAAGGCGATTCAGCGAGCAATTTCAAAAAGTCTGCCAGGGAAGCACCAGCTGCCGCTGACTACACCAATTTGGAGGGTACGAAGTGGCTGAGCGTGGTTTTTCGCAAGACACTTGCAGTCACAGGACTAAAAGAGAGACTGAGAGAAATACTGGAAAGATCACTCGTTCGCAAGCAGACGGGCAGGTTAAACCAAGCCAGGAAGCACCTGCGCCCAGGCAGGTGGCCAACGTCAGGGCCCGGCCGGCCTCCGCGTTCGTTTATACACAAAGAGAAACCGGACCCTCCCCACCGGAAGCAGATCCTCTGCCCTCTGGGGCATTACACATTCCTCCGCGCCGGAAGAGAGCGTCCTCCCTCGGCCCGACCGCTTCCCCCCGCCGCCGCCCCTCCTACAGGGGAGCCCGTGGGACTCGAAAGGGCGAAGCGCGAGGAGTCGTTGGACTGCGCAGAACTTGGGCGGCCGAGGAGAGAAAGAGCCACTCCGGGCTGCCCGGAAAGGGAAGAGGAACGAAGGGCTGGAGAGCCAGACGCCGCGTCGCGGCGGAAGGATTCTGTTTCCTGCGGCGGCGGAGGGATTTGACAGTACGCTAACTTCCGGAAAAGTCCTGGCTGTGAGAGGAAAAGCCCCGAGAGAAACAATAACAAACGAGAGGAGGAAGCGGCTTCGGGGTTGCGGCGTTGACCAGCTCTTGTCCGGGAAGATGCGCTTCGGCCCCTGGCAGGGGACGTGAAGGGGCTCGGCGGGCTTCAGCCGGCCTTTGTCCACCGGTTCCTTCCCGGGGGGCTCCGTGGCTATTGCCATGGCGGGCGTGGGGCCGGGGGGCTACGCGGCGGAGTTCGTGCCACCCCCGGAGTGCCCCGTCTTCGAGCCCAGCTGGGAGGAGTTCACAGACCCGCTCAGCTTTATCGGCCGCATCCGGCCTTTGGCGGAGAAAACCGGCATCTGCAAAATTCGGCCTCCCAAGGTAGCGGAGTCTGGGAAGAGACGGGGAGAAGGGAGAACGGGGAGTCGCTGTGTTTGGCTTGGCGTTACTTTGCTGGTCCTTCTGTTCTTTCGTGTGTCCTCTCCCTCATTTCTCAACAGCTGGAGCCAGAGTTTCTGGATGTTTTTGTCTTGGTTT